TGGTCGAATTACTTCACGTCAACAACGCTAAGCTAAAGGCTCTAATGTTGAGTAGTCTCATTTAATCACTTGTTATCAACCACTATTTTTATGATCATGGAATAGAGAGTGGTAAATGCTAACTCAATTCTGGATTTAAGGAGTGATTCACATACCACTCAGACCATTGTAAGAGAACAGTCATCTTAACCAATCATAGAAAAACAACACTAACCAAATAAAACGTGTCAGTTGTTAGTCTTTCCACTGTTCCAGGGATCACCAACTCTGGTTAGAGAGTTTGAAAGAGACACTAAATTAGTTGCAGAAATGAAAATATACATTAATAAGAAAAAAAAATTCTGCGCTCTCCCTTTTGCTCTCTCTTTTCCTCAGGTGTTTTTGATCTGCTCCTGGCTCCGCCTCTGCTCAGGTGTTCCTGATCTCCAAAACCACTCATATAAAAAGAAAAGCTGAAGAAGAAGGCAGTAATGCAAAATTAAGAATGTAAGCTGGCGTTAAAAACAAAAACAAGAAGAAGAAGGAGCTCTCTCAAGTATCTTATTTGTCATTTCCTAGCTCCTCGGTCCTCTGTCTCACCGGAAGTTGTTTTTTGTGCGCCATCTTAAGGAGCGCTCCATGGCGCTTATTTGTGCCGGAGGAGCGAGGATCAAGGAACGATAACTGAGGAACGACCAGCCCATCCTTCGGTGAATTCCTCAGCCACTCGCCCCGCCCCCTTACTGTGTATCGCTTACTGATTGGATGCTGCAGCGCATACCTAATCTGATGCTTCTTAAAATGAGAACACATAACACATGTCCTTGCTTCCTCTCTCTTCTCGTGGTTTCCTTGCATCTTAGTCCCTCCCACCAGGGATGCATTGAGGGATGTGAAATGTGTTATGTGTTCTCATTTTAAGAAGCATCAGATTAGGCATGCGCTGCAGCGTCCAATCAGCAAGTGTGGTGGTGTTTTAATCCTTGTCTTCATGTTAATAGCCACCTCTATCGGGGTTGTGGTTTTTAACGCGCCTCTCTTTGTTTCCAAGCATTTTAAGCGGAGATCGTGGTTGAATTAGATGAGCTTTATTGATTGGTCCAGACGGCATATAAACAGGAGGACACATTTCTTCGCTTCATACTTAATAAAAGTTTCAGACTCCAAAAGAACAAAAAGAACACGGTCAAAAGACTTTTACAATTCCCCGTCTCATCACCCCCAGCTGTGTCCTATCAACCTACCATATATAGGCATATAGCCATGCACGTGATACTGACGCACATATAACAAATAATAAGTGAGCCTTAAATGAATACATTTGAAACCATAATGTGACTCACAAAAATACCCGATAATTTAGAGTTTAATCTAATTTATATTATTACTTTATGTAATAATAATAATAATAATAATAGATTTAATTTGTTAGCGCTTTTACAGGTGCTCAAAGACGCTTTACATATATAGTGAAGATAAAATAAAATAAAATAAAGGAACAACAAATAAATATATAGTTAAAGTTAAAGTCAAATAATACAAAAACAATCACACATTAAAAGCCAGATTGAAGAGGTGAGTTTTTGTACGTTTTTTGAAGGTGGTGAGGTCAGTGCAGTCTCTTATGTACTGCTTTGTCTGTGTGTTGCTTCTTTATAATAAGTGTCCTAGCCTCAGTCTTTTCAGTATGTCACTCAGTGTGCCAAACTAGAACTGCTACTACTGAGACACACAATTTAAACCTTTAATTAGAGCACCAACATGAGAAGGACAGCGAGGCAGAGACACAATCCCACTCTATTCTTGAGAATTTGCACGCACGCACGCACGCACGCACGCACGCACGCACGCACGCACGCACGCACGCACGCACGCACACACGCACGCACGCACGCACGCACACACACACACCACACACATACCATGCATACATCCCTTCAGGGGACATTACATTGACTTACATGCATTTCCTGGAGTCTTATCCTAACCTTAACCATAACCAACACATGCCTGACCCTAACCCTTACCCTTACCCTTACCCTTACCCTAACCCTAATCCTAATCCTAACCAAGTCTTCACCCTAAAATTAATGATTCCCCTTATGGGGACCTCCAAGTTGTCCCCATAAGGGAGGCCAGTCCCCACACGTGACTGTGTAAACAGATGTAGGTCCCCACAAGTATAGTAATGCTAGACCACACACACACACACACAAACAAAGACAGTAGGCTACATCAGGCTTATAGTCTCAAGCTGCTGTGACTTTGAATTAATTAATTGTGGCCCACTTATTTTTAATTAAAGTTTCTTAGTGTGGTTCCGTGCTGGTAACATGGGACAAGGTGTTAAGTAGAAGACGTCTGTCCTCGCTCTGTGGTTTATAAAGACAGGCTGACAAGATGTGGTTCAGTTAACCAATAGATTACTGACATTCAGCAGATGAAGCCTTGCATTGTTAACTGTAGATACATCTCCAGGAGCAGATACAAATAAAGATAATGAAATATCTGATAATGAATCTGAATATCAGAATCAGTTTTTCTGGATTTAGCACTATTTACGGCTTGAAAATAGGAATCCTATTGGCTTTTTAACTCCTCTTTTTTGTATTTTAATGGTCTTTACTTTAAACATGTACTGATCTAATGCTACATCTCACTGTAAGCACATGTATAATGCTTGTCAGACTGTATCCTGACATATCTGCATTGAAACGGCCTATACACAGTAATTAGTGTATCATCACTGCTCCATCTGCCTCAGACTGACCTCCCATGTGCAAGGTAGGAAAGATCTTGAGCACCCCCTACCAGCACAGAACACATCTCATTTCTCTTCACCCTCTCCTCAATTCCACCTTTGTGAGTGCTCTACAACTCTGTCATGGGCAATGACCTGGAAAAAAGGCAAACAAATGGAAGTGGAGACCGCACACTCAGCCTTTACTTACTGAGAGTGTAATGTATAAGGTGTGAGCAGACTGAGATACTTTCTCTTTTCTCCAGACCCTGATGAATCTCCATTTAGTAGGTTCCTTCAAGGGTCTAATTGAAAAGGGTTTTCCAGAATTTTGCGATTATGTAACTTTTGTCCTCTCAGTTTGGCTGCTTATAAGCATATAGTATCATAACTTCAACCTGTTTCTTATTGAAAGCCGACTTAATTCTGATATATTACCACAAGTTTGACTTGTTTGTTGGAATTTATGGTCAACTATAACACATTTTAAAGCTAATATTAGGCACACATTTTGTATGGTTTTACAAAATTGACACAGGATGCTATACATTTGAGTAAAACATCCCTAATTCAAAGTACTGATCATTATTTTTTCTAGCAAAACTGGACGAAACCATACATGTTTTAGTTTTTATCTTCTATCACCCCTTATTCCAATGTCAAATTATTTAGAAACTCTTCAAATTTGACCTGAAGACAACAAAGAGGTCATGTGTCTTTTTTTACACTATTTAAGTTATCAAGAAACAAACTATTGCAATAGTATAGTTGTAGTAAAGCACTTTTATCAGCAGTGCTGCTAACCTTTTCATCCTGTAAACAATTCACAGAATTGAATAATGAATTTAAGTTGTGACCAGTCCAACTAGAGTCATGTTCACTTATTGCATCGTTAGTATTGACTGACCTGGAGATGAATAAAAAACACAAAACAGTTTTAGCTAGTCAGAAAAGCTTTGGAGAGCAGAAATATTTCCCCCCCATCTTCTATCGTGTTCATCATCTTGTGGCCCCTGAGTCCCAGATTTAAGTCTGCTCTGAATTTTTGACTTGCAAACTAAAAGTTAATAAGACAACCAATTGTAGTTGCCATGTTTTAATGTTTTGTTAATTTACCAAAGATGTTGGAATAAAAAATGCCGTATAGAGTCAATGTTCCTCAAAGTTTGTAGGCTACCCTGTGAGCAGCTCACATTTTTTTGTGGGAAATATATATATAAATATATAAAGGACAGTGGTGTGCTATCAACACGTGGAAACAAACTTTTACAGTAAATAATGCTGATTTTCAAATGTTTTGATTCCTTAAGGAATCTACACATTAAAAAAAACAACGTTTGACGTTATGAAATAGAACTAAGAAATCACTACAGTTACAAAACGTTTTTTTTATATATATAAAATGTCCTTTATCAAACACTATACAATGTAAATCAATAAAACAATGTTGATGTAAGTATTAATGTAATGGACAACAGATCTAATTGTGCAGACAGGTGTGATCTTCTGTCACGATCTGTCAGTGATTCCTGTTTTATTGTGAAATGTGGTCACCCCCTGTGTTTTACTGTCCTCTCCAGGTGTGTGTTGTCCTTGTGATTAGCTCTGCATGTATTTAAGTTCTGGTTTTCAGTCACCGTTTGTCAGATCCTTGTTTGTCGAACAATGGAGCCTTCTGTTCCGCTTGTATGCCTTGCTCTGTTCAGTTTTGCCGGATTAGGCCCATCTGGTATTAACGGTATTCTCTTCAAGTGATTTTGTTTCCTGCTCCTGGGTCCACCCTGCTCTACGTGACCGCTCCAGTGCTCACAGTTGTGTATATTTCATTCTAAAAATGTTAGAATTGCCTCAACTGGTGTCTGTTCCCTTGAAGATCAAGATATCATCCATTAAATGTATTCTTGCTCAATCAGTTAGTAATTACATAAAGCCATGTATGCCTTTTGTAAATACAGATTATTCAGATCAATTACTGGGAGTTATGTTGAGCCCTATCTTCATTTAGCTTTATATTAAGAACACTGTGTAAACAAGCTTTTCATATCAATAATATCTAGTCTAAGTTAATATTGTTGCTTATGAAAATACAGCTTCCTGGTTTATGTGCTCACATTTTGTCATAAAGAGTCTTTATTGTGAAAGAATCAGGCTGTTATAATGACTTTGGTACATTAATTACAGTTAGCTAACCCCTAGTTTTCTTAAGAAGACCCATCATTCATTTAAAAATCTTGACTTTTGTTTCATTCTTGATTAAAAAGAATCGCTTCACACAGCAATGCACAGTTTAAGTACAACTTTTATTAATACTGGAATCATCACAGTGCGTTTTGTTACATTAGCAGTGACTAAAGTTAACAAAAAAAGGTCAATTTTACAGTGGAAGACAGAAAAAGAAAACCTTATCATCAGCGACAGAGGCGAAACGACCTTGGAAATCAATTCACAATAAATTAAAGAAGAAGAGGGGACAGAAAGAAGAGAGAAAGACAAAGACCACGGTGCCTGCAGGTCTACGAGGGGGGGTGAAGAGAGGAGCAAAAGATTGGTTTGTACAGAAACATAAAGCAGATGTTGACTGGGCCAAATTGGTATCCTTGGAACAAAATAGCCTCATAGAAAGTGATATCAATGTCTTAATGGTGAGTTGTGGAGAGATTTCATTTGGAGGCTATAGAGGAAGAAGGGACAGAGAGAGAGAGAGCAAGCGAGAGACACTACTGAGAACTGACAGAGACATTCAGTTCAGTCACTGTGGCACCGGGGGCCACTGTGGCCCCTCTGTTCTGCATGGCTATATGACAGGAAGTTACAACGTGTTTCATCATGATCCCTCAGAAGACCATAATGGAGCTTCCAAGAATCTACCTTAGTCACGTTTGCTTCAGACAACTGTGTGTGTGCTTGTTGGTGTGTGTGTGTGTGTGTTGGGTTTCTTCAGTTATAGACAGCAAAGACGATTGGCAGATTGTGCGTGGGAGGTGGGAGGGAACAGTAGGGGTCTTAACCAAGTGTCCTAGTGCAACACACATTCATGCACACTCACATACATATTCAGTATAACCTGGGCAGATGGCTTTGGGAGCGTGTTGTAATGCAGCATTTGAGCCTAAGGACCTTTTAAATACCCCATATGTTGGTACCTTCTAAAGACTTTTAAATGTCTTTGGTAAGGTATAATTTAAATTAAGACTGATATTAGTATTTAAATACCTACTTAGAGTAAGAACATTTTATATATTTTGTCTTTTGCCTAACCCTAACCCTAGCTCAGTTCCATACACTAGGGATTTGCCTATGTGCAATACTTCTCATTATAAATGCAGCTCAATCTGTGCTTTTAATGGTCACCACAAGGTCATTCTTATTATTATTGTATATGTATGTATAAATGTAAATGTATGTAGGAATAACTTGCATAATGATTTCCAGGACAATCATTGATCAAGTAAGGGGTGGGAATTAATAAGCATTTGCTTCCTCCTACTCCCTTTCAGACACATATGATTTATTATTATTATTAATATGAAGACTTTTTTTTGTTGAATATACAAATATTACCATGAATGTGGATAAATACTGTATTATAACAATACGGTATTCTGTTTTTCACATTTGTTATTTTTTAATCTGTTCGAAATAAAGACTGAAAGAAAGAGAAAGAATTAGCCATAAGGAGCCTTAAAATATGTTTTTTTGTTTTTAAGAATGTTTGACAGACAGTATGTTTCCTGTGTTTTCTTGAAGGAAATCAAAGTTGCATTTCACACCGCAAAATAAGTCTGTTCTCAGCTAAATGTCCACATAGATTTGCATGTGCTGCAAGCAAATGTCCACAATGGAAATCTGCCAATTTCCTAGTAAGTAACCAGGGTAACTAAATTGTGGATGGACAACAAGTTGAAAAACCAATGCTTTTTAAAAACCCTCTTATTTTTTAACATTTACTTTGAGTGATTTGGTGATGTTTGGTTTTGAATTAAGACTTTAGAATCCTCCCTTTCATGTGCTACTGTTCCGTGACATTTTAACATTATGCTGTAATTGTCACTTGTGTCCATTTTGGCAGTTTTTCAAAAAGCAAAGTTGCCTTTTGATTTTCAGCCCTATTTAACACAAATACTGATATACTTGTGCTGCAAACACCATAAGATTTATTTTGGCGATGTGGGTAAACATTCCTACTGCATGTTATTATACTGCTCCCCCTTGCGTCTTGTAGGTTTTAGAGACAGAAGCTCACCAAGAAACCATCAAAGTAATATAAGCTAACTGTGATATGGTCCTTAAAAGGCTAAATTAATTAAAATGTAATCTAGTGCTATGATTGAGTGTCAGCTGAGTTCCTTGAAGCTAGTCCTGTACAGCGGGGTAGTTTACCCTAGCTAATGCTTCTGGCTCTTAACACAACACACGCAGAAACCACCAGTTAGCCACCTACATCCACATTTGAACTGTAGCACACATACTTACCAACCTACAAACACACAGACATGGAGAAAGAGGAAGGACCAGAGTGAATGGGATATAACAGAGAGAGAAACTGAGCCCATGTTGGCTGTGGTGTGAGTAAAGACTTCATCAGAATGATGTTTCATTAGCTTTGATGGGCTGCGAGGGACAAAGAGTACAGCCGCTGGGACTCAACAAATGTCGTTTTCTAACCTATCAGTCAGACGGCGTCCCTGGGATTACTGTGCCAGTGGATGGAGGTAAGACAAGAGGAAGATAAGAGAGAGGAAAAGAGAAAGAGGGATACATGGGTGGGAAAACGGTCTCCGTACATAACGTGAGTGTTCAAACTAATTTGATAGTAATTAGTAGATTCTGTACACCGCCAGGCTTTCAGACAATGGTGCTGCTGAGTTTTTAACGCTACTGTGTTCCTACAATGGCAATATACTAATCATGAAGAGTAATAAACACCAAAAATGACAACTTGTATACAAATTACAAACCATGTTTTAACTTGAGTTCTTAAAGAAAACTTCTCACATGTCACCATGTAAAAGGAAAATCAAAAAACGAATTTAAGTAAATGGGGGCAGCTTTTAACAAAAGCAAAAATATATCACTATAAAAACTCTTGCAGTATTATCCAAGCCTTTTAGTTTAAGAACGTAAAGGCAGGCATTTTTCTCAAAACTCAATAGTAGCATTGGGTGATTCATTGATATACAAATTGTCATTTTGTTTTAGAAGTATTCCTTTGGAGTAACTGGTTTTCAACTGGGTATTTTTTGGCACTTGGCCAAAAAATGAGTTGAATATAAAAAATATTTTCGTGTGGATTTAACAAACAAAACATAGCATGTTAATTAGTTCACTTTAGATCCTGGTTGATGTATTATTATTAATCATTGGGCTAGCCAGGCTAACTGTGCTTACTTATTGATCGTAGGCTAAGCTAACCATGCCGTTGTAGGTAGCTCAAACTATTCCTTTATCAGTTTGACAGTTGTAGTCGTAGGTACTTGCATAATAACTCAACAGCACTACAGTCTGTACAGAAACACAGTATTTTCTGAAGTCATTTTATTCAAGTGTGCACATGGCATGTAACTATCATGTTTCATGTGTGTACTTATCTAGATGTTGTCAAGATAAGAACTTACAATGCTGCAATATCACTGAATGTCGAGATGGGATATTTTCAACTGATTTAAAAATTATGAAATGTAAATAAATGTATTTTTACAGTGCTAGTTCCTTTTGAACATGATGTATAGCAGTTAGGCCTGTGTAACTTGTGTATACACAGGCCTAGTTTGTGTATATCCTATGATGTGTTTGTTCGTGTTGTACGAACGCATGCCTGCACGCATGTACATCTGCCGATATGTTTTTATGTATGTCTGTTTCATTGTAGCCAGTAGACCTATTTCTACACACAAACACATAATCGTAAAAATGGGCATAATGATATATGTGTAGCAGAGTATTAGTTTCAGCTTGATCAGACAGTTAGTTCAGTACACAGTTAATTCAGCATGTTAAAAAAAGACATTATTGTTTTAGTTTAGATAACTTTTTGTGCTGTTAATTTGGCATTTTAAAGGAAAATAGCAGTGTTGTACACTCATCTCACACTCATCAAAGGCCAGTGTGTTCAATATGATCTGACTTTTTCTCATCCGACTTAATGTGAAATCCTGCTCTTATCCTGAGTTGTAATCCATCATTTGGAATTAAGCAGCATGTCTGGTTTGCAGGGAATTATAAACGCTTTAATGAAGCAATAACTAATATAGATAACTGGCAGTGAATTCAATGTGCACTAGAATTAATAAACATACAGCACATACGCATTCAGACTCTTAGAATTGGCTCTAACAGTGTCCTTGGAAATATAATGAAGGGTAACTCTATATCATCCCATTCAGAGATGGCAATGTGATATAGCTTTAAGATGGTGAACCAAAACAAAACGGAGCTATTTTCCTTTAACATACCCACACTTGAATGTACGCACATGCACACTACCTCTGTATTGCTTTCCTACTGTTTAAACTTCATTCAGTTGTACAAGAACAAAGTCATGACATTGCAATCGTTCAAGCAAGTCAAACACAAACAGTTAAATGTCCCCCCTACACATTGCAGTACATTCAGCATCCATACCTATATTCATGTACACTTTGACTTCCATTGGTGGTCTTACAGATGAACAATTCTCTTTTTCTTGAGGAAGGTCCTCTCCCCTTCTACCCTCTCACCCAGCTGATACAACACACAGCATCCACATGTGACAACACACACACACATTGTGTTTACAAATTTCACTCACTCTTTAAATTGAATCATCATTATATTATTTTTAAGGGCCACAACTATATTTAAAACAGTACAGAAATAAGTTTAAAATAGGGCATTTACTGTAAGAGTGCTGATCCCTTCTGTTAGAAGAGCGTACAGATGTAAAGAGTTCGACCAAACAAGGACACACTCACACTCGGCCCACCCATCCTACATCCACATATGACACAGCTTAATAGTTTGTGTTACATGTGGAGGGATTTCTTATTCTTTTACATAAAATAAAATTAAGATAAAATATTCAAACAATACTGCGGAATGAAAAAATAATAATACTGAAACTGAAAATTCAATGTACATTTGTGTTTAAAAACCATTAATGCCAAATATGCGCGCCTGATTCTCCTTTACAAGTACAACACATTGTATGAACAGGCAGTGAAATGCTCATTGCTCTCGTCCTCTCTCCGCCAGTTTTTAAAGTCTAATTTAACACTCCTGCTTATTTGTCAGCAGAGAGCGTATCAAACAGGCTTCACCTTTTTCTTCACCACATTGTCCATAAATAATCCTTTCATGCAGTCGTGTCCTGAGCTGAACTGGGTTATTAGCACTAAGCTAAGCTAAACTGGGATTGAAACACTTGTGCTGTGTCTCAATTTGTGGTCTTCCATATTTTGAACGTATGGCAGAAGTGCACTATGAATGCCTGGTTGTTGTACTTATAACAGTCAGAAAGTGACGTGTGGAACACTGGATAATTCTTACCCTCAATAATAGAATAGAATTGGAGGGATAAAACCCTCTTGGTCACACACGCAGAGCACACACAGTGAAATGTGTTCTCTGCATTTAACCCATCCAAGTACCAGGAGTCTGGTAGCTATTTTGGCTATCTAGTCAAAGGGCAGTTACCACCAGATTTGCCAATATGGTGGCTAGATATATTTCCTGTTGCAATATACGATTAAAATAAAAATAAATAAAAAGGGATGTTCAAATGTGAGTCAATTTAGGTTACTTCAGCACAACAGCTGTTAGCTTTGAAGCAACACTGTTGAAATTCAAGCACTACACAATTACATGGCACTAATGGAAGTATCAAAATTGAGACACAGGTTCAGTTAAAGGACATGATTAGTGGAACTGTATGTACTGTTTGTGACTGAAAACATGCTAATCTAAATGTTAACGTTTAGCTTAGCATTACATACACAAACAGTGTTGGGCAAGTTTTATTTTTGTTCAACTACACATTACCACCGATCATCAAAAGCACTGAGTTTTAAATTCTGTTTACCTAAAGATAAATCCTATCTTCAACTAAAGGCCTGGCCAAAGCCAGAGCTGCTAGCTTTCAGCTAACCACTGCCCAACACTGTGCAACTAACTGTGCGTGCTCTCCCTCAAAGTCATTTTTTGTCTCCTATGGTAGCATTATTGCAAATATAATAACGATATATTACCTTTGTTGTATGGTGTCCTTATAAATAAAACTTGAGGAGCCAATCTTGGGCAAAAGGCTGCTGCTCAGCTTTTTCATAATGCAAAGATATACAGTATTTACAGGTAAGAATACATTTGCGGATAAGCCAATGTACTGATATCTATTTGCACATGAACTTGAGTGAATGCTATTTTGTAATTGACCTTACTTTGGACATGAGAAATTAGAAATGTCCATAATCAATGTTATGGGCTGACTGTTTTTGTCATTCGGGTCGAGTGACCTTCTAAAGCCTATATCCCAAAGTACTCTCAACTATCTGTGCTGTGTATATTTTGCAATATATGTTGAGTGCAACCACTTAATTCACCATCCACAGAAGCACAATGGCTTGTAGAACCCTGAAGAGCTCTGACGTTCAATCAACATTTTAGATAAATATTTGTGCCCAACTTTCTCATCCCTGCCCTTCTTCCACCAATTACTTCAATTCCACCGGTCTTTATCACTTCCTCTTTGTCCCTCCCTGTCTTCTATAACACATTAAATAATATCCCTCCCTATTATTGGCAACCATCTCTTTCACTTTCTCTCTCCCTTGCATAAGGTATGACTACAGCAACATCTAGCAGCTATTGTACATACTCTCAAAGTGCTTTACAGTTTGAGCGTTTTTCAACATTTTTGAAATCCATTTCCTCCACCAGAAAGAAAAAGCGACAGAGAGAGAGACACACCAAAGTGGTGAGGCATGAATTCACAGTCAACATGTAATTTAGCATTCCTGATGATTGCCTGAATGTGATAAAGGAGAACCCACAGTCCTCCATTTATCCTCTTCTTAGAAACAAGAAAATAAAACACATTTATTGCTCCATTTCTGATTTAACATTTTCTCTCTGGTTCTAGAAAATATATATGAATATCTATACGCCTGGATTACTTCTCGTACAGTAGTAACAAGGTAAATGACATCACGATATAAACAAGAAAATACAGATACAACACACAGGAGAAAAGCCCTGCCCTCATTGGGTAACCAGCTGTCCTGCAGCAGAGCTCTACCCACCCCCCTCGCGCACACACAAACAATCAATCACGTGCACACACACTCGCCTTTGCCCACATGCATACACATGAATGCACCACACACACAAGAGAGGGGAAGGGGGAACTAGCACGGTTCAATGCCAACAGTATTTTTTAAACACTCTTTTACATTAGGATGAACCAGAGGGGACCTCTGGCCTGTTAGCTCCCCGTGCTAATACCAAAGCTAAAGTTCAGTGGGCTCATAAGTACAGTATGTCGCTGCTGAGATAGCCTGGGTTCTAATCCAGCTGGTCACATGGCACTCTCACCCCCCACAGGGACCTCCATCAGTCATTAGTCTTTCATCTAGGAGTAGACAGTCGGGTTAGTTGGAGAAGAGGATGGGGAAAGGTGTAATTGACAAACAGAACCCAGTCTTTCTCTCTTTCTTTGCCCTTTTTTCACGTATCTGTTTTTCGTCCCTGGGTGAAGGTGTAAAGAAGACAAACATGCGTCCGACATACACTAGTTATAGTGGCCTGCTAGGAGCCTGTCAATATTCATTATTTCACTTTTATTTGTCACCATGAGTTAACATCATTAATGTTATTATTATTATCATTATATTATATATCATTTACTCTAATGGTGTCATTAAACTTTTTTTGTGTATGTTTTTATTCATCATCTGTTATATTATAGCTTTCCCTACATAGTTAAGTGTTTGTGTATGTACTAGGCTGTTGGGTTGCACCACACCAACACCTGACTCCCTATTGGCTGACAAGTATCATCTTATTCCTGCTTCTCCTCGAATCACAAGATACGTGGTGCTGAGCGGTCATTGGATACGGTCTTGCGGAGACGGACCCCTCTCCTGATGGTGGTCAACATGTCGCCGGACCCTTCTGCCATCTCTATCTCATTATCGGTGGGGCCAGTTGGCTGCAGGGCCGGGTCATCAGGGAGGGCGGGGAAAGGAAACTGCCCTTCTCCAAGGGCGTGTGCACTGGCAACTAACTCGCCGATCTTTTCCACTAGGCTGTGCCGATTGGCCGCGATCATCTGATCCTCCTCTAACCCGGCCCCTGAGCCTGTTCCCATGGCAAGGCCTCCATGCTGCTGGCTGTAGATCTCTAATGCCGCCCCTGATCCCCAGGCGGTATTAGGCAGGCTGAGGCGCTTCGGTGATGCCTTCACATAATCAAGCGCTCCCTGTGCATCCTCAACTCCAGTAAAGAAGACACACTCTTCACTACCCACACGTACAGGCACCCCACCTGAGTGGGCTCCACCTGCGTACCCACCACTTGCCCCAGGTGAATGTGAGTCTCCTGGAACAGTAGGTGTCTTGACAGGCACAATGGGTGGTCGGATTGGAATAGGCCCCGCGCTGGACAGTGTACGCCTCACGCCCGGTTTCGTAGACGGGGTTCGGCGGATGGTGGCAGTGCCTGGAGTACCTGAACCACCTCCCCCGGATATAAGATGACCCCCAGGACCTAGAACCCCACTGGGTAGTCCGGCTGTGCTCGCTGGTCTCTTGGTCTGGATCATGCGCCGGTAGTTCTGAGCGATGTTAGTGTGGCGAGGAATTGTGGAGGACTTGTCAAACTCTGTCTGGCCATCTGCACCTTCAGCATCACCATTCACTGAGTAGCAGTCATAATCAGAACCTAATGTGGGGGGGTAAGGGAGAAGGGAGACAAGTGATTGAAGATCACAAAGTGATTGAGGATCACAAAGAAAAGACAAGAAAGACAATTTATTGTGGTTACATTATTGGATAAGCACAGAAATTATTATTAAAGCAACATTATAATGGTATGCTATTTTGATAAAAGATGCCTGAAACTGACAGCCAGTCTTGAAATGCACAAATATTTAATAATATTCAATTTAGTCCTGACATAAATTGTCATCTCCCAGCTACTGTCAAGGAAAGAACTGTCATACTGTGCCAGCTGCTTGAATAATTAAATGGATGATTCACTCTGTTTGATTTTGGTAGCTAAAGACGGTAGCAGTGACCCAGCGGGCTTATGCCTACACTAACGGTAACGTGAACCAAGACATTTAAGATAGACCTAGTAAATTAAAGTTAAAAACTGTATCCTGCTGATTTTTATGCAGCACAAAATATGTTGGCAACAATTTCCATAAAGAGGTTGGGAACATGATGCCTCAACAAATGATTTCCTCTACATTGATTTAACACTAGAAGCATTTAACACCGGATGGATATGCTAGCAATGCAATTGCCATGTTTCTGCAAGGAATGCGAGAAGTTCTCATGACCCTTGTGAAATGTGTTTACCAACCTATTATACGTGATCTGAGAAGGCAGTTTTGTAAATCACAGAGCATGGCTAGCAAAATAATCTGATATTGGATTGATGAACTCTAGGAAGGTTGGGCCATGACTTGAGACTTTAGCAAAACATATTGCTGTTTGAAAGAAATTGGTAATGCCCTCTTTCACAGGTAAGAGCAAACATGGACAGGAATCTGAGGAGCGGGTTCCATGTAACAGACCAATTGCAGGTGCAAGAATGAATCTAGTGGTTTGATTTCCTTGCATTTCTGAGAAAGCTGGTCAGTGAGTGTGGGCTGGGATGGCGCAGGACATTTTATGTTTAAAATCAAATAAGAATAAATGACCACATTAGGACTTGCAAAGAGCCAAGGTTCTTGGACACAACTGTGCAATTGAAAGTAGTATTCAGTCCCTCTTGGTGGCAATATCTAACTTCTTTCTTTTACCATAAAAAAGGGTATGTGTACTCACTAAGAAATTGTTGCTACATGTACTTGAACCTTTTTTGCAGCTAGATGTTAGTGATTTCCCTACAATTGTACCATGAATAGGATGCACTTTGCCAATCCTAGTTGTGCTGCTTTTCCTTCACCAACTTCAAAATATGCCTGGTAGAATATCTTTCATAACTCAAAGCTGTCAAAGTTGCTGTACTTATGAGAGTAAAGCATGGTAGCACTTTCCTAAAAGTGTAATCTCGTGGACAAAAAGAGGTTTTGAAAGACCGACAGATGACGTGGTTTGTTTTCACAGCCGACAGTTCATGTTGTATAGTTGTTCTGTATTGTGCTGATTGAACTGACCACTGCATTATGTAATTTGCAGGTTGGTGTATTGTTCTTTTTTGTGAATAAAGTTATATTTCATCAGGCTCCGACTGCCTCCAGCTATTTATCCTGAACCTGTTAAGAGGTTTTGGTTCTGATTTTTCCATTTTTTTCTAACACATTTTGAGACATCCATACTGTGTATCCATCTCCAATTGTTGGCCATTTGCACTACGACTCGGCTTTTACAGCAATAGTTGCAGGCAATATCAGGATCAATCATGGGTAAACTTGCACTGTCAGGCAAAAGGTGTATACTAGATTAGAGTTTCACCTTGGGAGGGGATTGTGTCCTCAGAGCAGGATGGGGTTGTAGTCTCTGTGCTGTAGCCACTGGAGTACTGCAGAGAGTCCCTGTTGCTCTTTTGCTGCTCCATACTCAGTCCTCTGGTCAGAACCATGGCCAGGTCACTGGCTGCTGGAGAAACCTCATCTCCATGCTGAGGACAGAAAGAGGAAACATTAGAATGGTGTTTAAACACAAACTTTGTCCCGATCACATGTCAGATAAGCAAGTCAGTTTGGCTTAAGCCAGTGGTCACCAACCAGTCGATCGCAATCTGCTTGGATTGCGATCGACCGGCAATTAATGTGATATAGTTCACAGTTCCAGATAATACTCAAACACAAAAAATAAAATGACAAATGTAATTCATGTCGGCAAAACCTCTTCTAATGCTTAGTTATACCTTTTTCCCAAACCTACATTTATAATGAAATTGAAAGTTTGAACAAATGTTGGCATATTGTTAAAACTTCAATATGTTTTGTATTTAAGACAATAATATATTTAGTCATCCTCATTAATTGATGAAGTTTAGTATAACGCTTGTCAGCTAGACTAGAGGTAACAAACATTATGTCCCCAAATTATATAACGGAAAAACTACTCTCCCGACTTTGGTGAAAGTTGAAAAACAGTATAATTCCCTAAAACAACTGTATCTCTCTACTAAATCACACAAATGTATTCAATGTGATCCTCTTTTATTCACTCCCATCCATCCAACATCCCCTACAGCTCTTTGAAACGGAAGCCCAATGTGCTCTGATTGGTTAGCTGGCCGGCTCTGTTGTGATTGTTCAACCGCTTAGGAATGTGTAGGAAATGTTCCGACTCTTAGCATTATCAAAGCAATGATATTGCAATGTAAATTATAATCTCCCCCTAAAAAAGACCCATTATTTATAGTGAAAACCACCCTTGAATGATGGAATAGTAGCCCAAAACCTTTAGGGATCCAAACCACAATATATCATAAGTACCCTGTGTCAAGATTGATGCTAATTTAGTGAAACTTGAATTTCTTTAGAAAAGGCAGGACTCACCTTTGGGTACATTTGGTTATCATCAGCGCCATTTATTTCATTGAAATATCACTATAGGTATTCATTCCATCCAATTACAACTGTATTTTGACCTTTTTGGAAAGTTCAGCCTGACCTCTATGCCCTTTTTGGCCACATGCGTAATGCTGCGCAGGCTGCCAGTCAGACCTATGCATTACACATTACATTGCATTTAGCAGGCACTTTTATCCAAAGTGACTTAAAATAAGTGCATTCGACCAACAAGATACAAACTTGAAGAAAACAGAATCATATAAGTACATCAGGTTTCATAGAGCTAAAACATTTCAAGTGCTACTCAACTGGCTTTAGATAAGCCAGTCCTTTATTAGTATATAAGTGCTTTGTTAGCAATTCTTTGTTAGTAATTCTATCGCTCGAAGTGGAGTCGAAAGAGATGAGTTTTCAGTCTGCGCCGGAAGGTGTGTAAGCTATCTGCTGTCCTGATTTCAATGGGGAGCTCATTCCACCATTTTGGAGCCAGGATAGCAAACCGACGTGTTTTTGCTGATGGGAACTTGGGTCCCCCTCGCAGCGATGGTGCAGCGAGCCGTTTGGCTGATGCAGAGCGGAGTGCACGTGCTGGGGTGTACGGTTTAACCATGTCCTGGATTTAGGAAGGGCCAGATCCATTCGCAGCATGGTACGCAAGTACCATAGTCTTGAAGTGGATTCTAGCAGATACTGGAAGCCAGTGAAGGGAGCGGAGGAGCGGAGTGGTGTGGGAACATTTAGGAAGGTTGAAGACCAGACGAGCCGCTGCATTCTGGATGAGCTGCAGAGGTCGGATGGCACATGCAGGTAGACCAGCCAGGAGGGAGTTGCAGTAGTCTAGGCGTGAGACACATACGATAAGATAAGATGAACCTTTATTAATCCCAGAGGGAAAATTCAGTTGTACAAAGCAGCAACAGGGTAAGCGTGAAAAAAACAGTACAGCAAAGATTCACACAGATCAATAAAATCTAAAATAAATAATAAATCAAATCAAATCAAGGAAAAAATAATAATAATAAAATACTATGAAAATAGGAGATGAATAAAAATAAGAGTAAAATAACTGTCAGCATATATACATATTTGGTCATCATCTAAGTTATAAAGTGCGGAATAAATTAAAGTGACAAGTGAAAAGTTAACATGGGTTGTGGAAACAGTGTATATTTATGTCCAGTGATTTCATTGTATTTCTTTTTCATATTCAACCCCTTATTGTGCAGCCTGATGGCTACAGGCACAAAGGTCTGTCCGAGGCGCTTGGTGCGTTGTTGTGGAGGGATGAGTCTGTGGCTGAATGTGCTCCTCATCTTCACTAGCTCTGCGTGGAGTGGGTGGGAGGGGTTCTCTAGGATGCTGTTGAGCTTCCGCCTCCCCTCTGCCACCTCCTCCAGATTGTCCAGTTGTACTCCCACTACAGAGCTAGCCTTCCTCACGAGCTTGTTCAGCCTGCCAGTGTCCCTAGTGTTTGTGTTTCCACCCCAGCACACCACGGCAAAGAAGAGCACACTGGCCACCACAGACTGGTAGAACATCTTCAGCAGCCTCGTGCACACGTTGAATGACCTGAGCCTCCTCAGGAAGAACAGCTTACTCTGTCCCTTCCTGAAGAGAGCATCAGTGTTGTCTGACCAGTCCAGTTTATTGTTTAATTGCACTCCCAGGAACTTGTAGCTGTTCACCACCTCCATATCCTCCCCCCTGATGGTGATGGGGGTCAGAGGCGTCTTGCTGCTCCGCCTGAAGTCCACCACCAGCTCCTTAGTCTTGCTGATGTTGAGCTGGAGGTGATTATTGTCACACCAGCCTACGAAGTTCTTAACCAGGGCCCTGTACTCCTCCTCATCGTCATCTGTGATGCAGCTGAAAATAGAGGAGTCGTCAGAGAACTTCTGTAGGTGGCATGAGCCGGAGTTGAAGCGGAAGTCAGAGGTGTAGAGAGTGAACAGGAAAGGTGACAGCACAGTTCCTTGGGGGGCTCCGGTGTTGCTCAGCAGCACATCAGACACGCTGCCCTGCAGTCTGACATACTGAGGTCTGCTGGTGAGGTAGTCTGTGATCCAGGCCACTATGCTGTGATCCACCTGCATCACTGACAGCTTCTCAGCTAGCAGGTGTGGCTGGATCGTGTTGAAGGCGCTGGAGAAGTCGAAGAACAGAATTCTCAGTGAGCATGTACGGCTTCTCCAGCTGTGCATTGCATTACGTATGGCCGTATCTCTGGAACCCATTGGTCAAATTGGGTGATTGACACCTCTTTGTAACCATTAGAGCCAATAGAATCGAGGGGCGGTTCATAAATCCATGTAAAAATTACCATTGGTCAGTTAGAATGATGCACACACATGCCCTAAAGTTGACGCTCCGGACTGCTAACCATGCTAAGCCGTTTTTTGCCATAAATGTAATGATGGATTATCACTAGGGCTGTCAGTCGATTAAAATATTTAATCGCGATTAATCGCAAATTAATCGCACATTTTTGATCTGTTTTAAATGTACCTTAGAGGAATATTTTTCAAGTTTATAATACTCTTATCAACATATAAGTGGACAAATATGCTTTATGCTAATGTTTATTATCATTTGAACAATGACAAATATTCTCATGAATATTAAACACAACAACTTCTGAACATTACAAATATTTGCCTCAATTCAACCTGGAACCTAATACAATAAAAATGGTGTGTGTGTGTGTGTGTGTGTGTGTGTGTGTGTGTGTGTGTGTGTGTGTGTGTGTGTGTGTGTGTGTGTGTGTGTGTGTGTGTGTGTGTGTGTGTGTGTGTGTGTGTGTGTGTGTGTGTGTGTGTGTGTGTGTGTGTGTGATGGATCGTTGGAGCTATGTGCAATTCAAGGCATATGCTCGAACGGGAGCTGCCTGGACGCTGCAATCAATTTGCACTATCCGTGCTGAGTGTGCTGACTTTTCGTACAATGTCCCACTGTCTGGCTGCCTGCATAAAGTCAAGTGCTCGGCACAGTTGTGGCGAAATGTCGCTCCTCTGTTTTCATTTAAGCAGCTCCTTATATCCGTTAGCGCAGCTAGCTAGCACCAGATGCTAACAACAACAATGCACGTAAGGTCTCTCTCTCGCTCGCTCGAGCCACAAATACACACACCCTCCCGGTCCTCCCAATAGCCAGTCGGTGCCTGCCGGTGAGCGTGGAAGTGTGGTCTGCCACAAGCGGGCGGCTGGAGCGGGGCTGTCAGCATCAGCTTGTAGATGGTATTTTAAACCCGATGTGCTCTGAAACTATGGGCCGGCCGAGGAAAAAAAATACACAAGCGTTAATCGCGTTAAAATAATTAGTGGCGTTAATTTGTTTTTGCGTTAACGCGTTATTAACGCGTTAACTTGACAGCCCTAATCATCAGTAATCATTTCAAAGTGACACAGAGACATTGGATTAACCTTCAACAGTGTTTTTATGCCCTTGAACACAACTTTTGATCACAAAACAGTAAAGGTAAGGCAAGGCAAGGCAAGTTTATTTATATAGCACCTTTCAACACAAGGCAATTCAAAGTGCTTTACAAACATGAAAGAAATTAAGAGCATTACGAAACATATTATAAAATGATATCTAGAAACACTCATTTAAAAGCAATGATATAAAATGACATTTAAAACCACTCTTTTAAAAAGCAAAGATAATAAAAATAACAGTTTAAGATATGAATATATCAATTAAAAGCAGCGGAAAAGTCTTCAGCCCGGATTTAAAAGTAGTAAGAGTTTAATCCTAGATATGTTCTTTAGGTGATAGTAGGCTGATTTAGTAACAGTTTTAATGTGACTGTTGAAACTCAGGTCAGAGTCCATGACTACACCTAGATTTCTGGCTTTATCTGTTGTTTTGAACATTGCACACTGAAGCTCAGCGCTAACTTTTATACGTTCTGCCTTGGCTCCAAAAAACATTACCTCAGTTTTATCTTTGTTTAATTGGAGAAAGTTCTGACACATCCAGTCATTGATTTGTTCAATGCACTTACTCAGTGTTTGAATTGGAGCATAGTCTCCTGGTGAAATTGTTACGTACATTTGTGTGTCATCCGCATAGCTATGGTAACTTATTTTGTAGTTTTTCATTATCTGAGCCAGTGGTAGCATGTAGATGTTAAAGAGAAGAGGCCCCAAGATGGAGCCTTGAGGAACCCCACATGTCATATTTGTCAACTCAGATTTGTATTTACCTATAGAAACAACGTTTCTTCTGTCATTTAAGTAGGATTCAAACCAATTTAGAACTGTTGCCGAAAGTCCCACCCAGTTTTCCAGTCGGTCTAGTAATATGTTGTGGTCAACAGTGTCAAACGCAGCACTGAGATCTAATAATACTAACACTGAAGTTCTGCCACTGTCTGTGTTTAAGTGGATGTCATTGAATACCTTTACAAGAGCAGTCTCAGTGCTGTGGTTTGGTCGAAAGCCTGACTGGAAAACATCGAAACAGTTATTTAAATGCAAGAAATTACTCAACTGTTGAAAAACTACTTTTTCAATGATTTTACCTAGAAATGGGAGGTTTGATATTGGCCTGTAATTGTTAATTACTGAAGCATCTAGATTATTCTTTTTTAAGAGCGGTTTAATGACTGCCGTTTTTTGGGGCCTGTGGAAAAACACCTGAGTGAAGAGACTTGTTTACTATATGAAGTAGATCTGAGGCCATGCAAGGCAAAACATCTTTGAAAAATCCTGTTGGAATAATATCAAGGCAGCAGGAGGAGGATTTCAGAAGTTGAATAATGTCCTCTAGGTTTTTATCATTAATCTGATGGAATTGTGTCATGATGTCTGAATTGATTTTAAATGGACACAGAGACAAAACATTTGCTATACCTGATGCAGAGGCACTGACTGCTTGTCTAATTTTCTGAATTTTGTCAGTGAAAAAGGAGGCAAATTCATTGCACGCCCTGGTGGATAGAAATTCAGAGGCTACTGACACTGGGGGGTTTGTTAGTCTGTCAACGGTAGCAAACAAGGCACGTGTGTTGTTTTTGTTTTTGGCAATGATGTCAGAGAAGAAAGAGTGTCATGCAATTTTAAATTCCAAATGATACATTTATAGATTTCAAAATTAACCTGGAGATTTGTTTTTCGCCACCTGCGTTCAGCTTTTCGACACTCTTTTTTCAGTTTTCACAGTCATAGCCTTTCTCCATGGAGATATTTTATTGCCAGTCACTTCCTTTATCTTAGTTGGAGCAATGGCATCTATGACATTTTTTATTTTTGAATTAAAATGATGGATCAATTTATTTGTGAAGTTACCTAAAGTGAAAGAGGAGACAGCGTCTGGCAGACAATGTCACTTGCACACTTTTGGCTGTCTGTGGAGACCGAGTTCCCCCACCTCGCCAAAAAGGCTGTAAAAGTGCTCATTCCCTTCACCTCTGCCTACCTGTGTGAGTGCGGGTTTTCCGCATTGTCTTTGATCAAAAGCAAGTACCGGTCAAGCAGGGGCGGATCTACCGGGGTTGCATGGGGTGGAAACTGCCACCCTAAAAATAGCCTTGCCACCCCAGTTGGCAGCTTTGTTTTGAAATAAAAGTGGTGGCTCATCGGACATTTATGAGAGAAAATCCCTAATGTCCGAGTGCAAGTGAATGCAGCACAAGACGCAAGCCTTGTAACCCCTCCCCCGGCGCAATCGAGGAAATGTGATTGGCGGCGATTTTATTTGAACGGGACGGCGCATTCAGACCCAAGTAGACGGAAGGAATGAGGTATTTGCGGTCTACAATGACAGAGAAGAGACTGTCAAGTTTGGCTGTACTCAGCATTGAATCAAAAAGCACTAAAGCTTTAGATCTTAATCAGTTTGTGAGGCGTTTTGCTGAACAAGATGGTAATCGCTGCATTCAGCTGTTATAGGCATGCCAACTTGATGCTCTGCTCACGGATGACTCGATGAGCATAAACAACTGTTAAGATGATGACCTTATGTGTGTAAATATATTTTTTTCTTTGTGGGGGTCTGCCCCCAAAAAACAGTTTTAAGTCCTGAGAAAGTCAAATAAGACCATGTGTAAAACTTCACTGCCCAGCCAAAAAAAGTAACCACTTTGATTTAACTAGGCCAGTAGGTAAGGGCATTCCACTGGATAATAATACCCCTGCATAACAACAACGACAATAATAATAATAATAATAATAATAATAATAGCAATAATAATTGGGAGTTTCTTCCTGTTAAGTGGGTATGCATCAATAATAGGTCGTTAAATGTTAAGAAGCCCTGAGACGCTGTTTCTTGCAAGATGTTGCGTCTACCGGGGGCCAACAGGTCTTGGCTTTGCTACACTATACTCTTGACAATATTGCATATAAATATAGTGTATGAATACATTTAATACACTTATATCCTTGCTTTTCTGCGTTACCTTGGCAGCCATGCTGGCCGGTGTCATCCTGTGTCTCTGCGCGTCCTCGGGCTGTGTAGGTGTGGCGTATCCCTGGGAGACCGGCGACATCTCGTTCTCCCTCAGTCTATCAAGTGGTTCCTTTCTTCTCTGAACTACCGCTGCCGCCCCTGCATGCTCGTACTGACCTGCTTTGGACCAATCCTGAAGAGGTGAGTCAAATTAAGAAACAGGAAGTAGCAGGTAGGGTTAGCACGAGAGACTTGTCCACTATCCAGCAGTTTGAAGCCCTTCATCTGAGTGCAGAGAGAGGGGGCCTTTACGGGTGGATTGTGTGGGAGTACTTGGAAGAGTGTGTGTGCGTGGGTGCATGTGGGCTGGGGGCTTTTTGAGTATTTCCGTGTTTTTATCTTGATGAGTTGGAATGGCCAGCTTTCAACACCCTGTTTAGTTTTGGAAAATCTCCAGACCCCAGATTGCAAAACCATTGACAGGGGAGGCCAAAAAAAAAGTACACACAATAAGTTGGGATGAACACAGGAAGCAAAGCAATGTGGTTACGAATGAGTTAAAAAGGTAATGAAAGTGAAAATAAAAGGCATTAACTGAAACGTATGAAACAGAAACAGAAAAAATAGAGCAACTGAAAAAATGGAAGCGAATGGAGAACAAACCTTCCACATCGGAACCTTTGATGTGGGAGAGGAGGAGCTGGATCCGGGGGGGCAGTTATAGGGTGGGGACGAGGCAGGAAGAATGACAGAGAGTGGCCTGGGGGAGCCAGAGTGAGAGAGAGCAGGGCGGAAGGTAGCGAAGGACGTGCCAAACTGCGGGATGAGAGACATAGTCACATCATCAGAGAGAAACAGAGACAGAGTTGGCCAGCTGTGGTGGACGATCGCTGAGCCAATCACAGGAGAATAAAAGCATCATACACTCATCTACTCTACAGTAGCCTCACACACCAAGTAAGAAACATCAGATCAGGGACGCCTCTATCTTTTTTTCAACCCAGTTTAGATTCGACCAAGCCCACTTCCGACTTAGCTCTTTCTCATGTTTAGTTTATAGTCCATGTGTAGAATTAGGTTTTTAAGTTTAGTCATGTGTCATTGTTCAATATTTAAATTAGATTCACTTATGTCTAGTCTTGTTTTTCTCTGTGTCATTGCGCTTCCTGTTTTATTTTGTACTTACCTTTCCTTCTCGTTTTTTGACTTTCTGCCATTGTGTGATTTCCCACCATTGAGATTGTCAACCCCACACATGATTGTTGCCACCTGAGTCCCATTACCTTTTGTATATAAAGTCCTCGTCTCCCTTTGTCCTGTGCCAGTTTTTCTTCTTTCAATGTGTAGTCAAGAGAGCCAGCGTTTGAAGCCAAGAACCTTTGTTGTTATTTCACATAGTCAAGTTTATTTAGTCCTATGTTTTGGCAGTTTGCTTTTGCTACGTTTTGCCTCTAAAATAGTTGTTTTTTGTTGTACTACACTTTAGATTTGTTCCCTTTGTCTTGAATCATGCATTTGAGTATTTGTGTCACATTCCTAACATGTCCCTATCTGAACAACTTATATCACTTTGACCCCAGATTGGGAAAAATGCAACTGGCATTGCAGTCACTCCAAGCGCAAGCCATGCTGCAAAACGCTTACAAATATGCTGTTTGAAGTAACTGTAGCTGCCAAATTCATATTTTGGTGGATGGAAACGTAAATGGTGACGCTGCTTCCATGTTTTTGCCATACAGAAGTGGCCGTGTTCAAATATAAACTGGGTTGGAAATCAAGACGCAGTTATTATATTTAGAATAGAAAATACAATTAGTGTCAAAAGTGCGTCAAAACGACTAGAGAAAGTGATTTCTAAAAAGCCTACATTTTCGCATCTACTGTATACATTTGTTAGAATGACAATGGGATGTGTTAGAGTGAACAGAAGTGTATTTGATTGTTTTTGCAACATCTGCAAGGTGGTTGTGCAAGGTTACCAGTGTATGTGGTGAGTGCAATCAATCTAGATTCTAGACAATGCATGTCACTCAAATTGGAGATGTATCACACACTGACTGCCATCAGATGGTAGTAAAAGGTGTTAATCAACTGAAAGGGAACACAGACATATATGCAGGCTGTTGTTGATGCAGATGCTGCTTAAAATCCGACATGAAAATGTACTTTGCCTCGCGAGCATCATTAGAATTGTATTTATGTTGCGAACAGATGTGCATGCTGGTCAAATAATGTATAATGAAAGGGACAAGCTCTCAAGCATAAATAAAATAAATCTGTTATATTCAAGATGTTTATGTGGGTGTGATTGCACTAACTAAAGTGGTGAATACAAGACAAAATACAATCCATGCATACTTTGCTGTTGATCTGAACCAAATCAGTTAGCAAGGGATAATGCTAGATGCTGCAAATCATTAACCAGAATTGTAGTAAAGTCATGAAGGTGTCCATTAACCAGAAATAAGTTGGCATTTTACCACTTCCAATTCCCTTGTCTTGAATCTACGGTTGCTAACAAGCAGCTGAATGAGACTATTAAATATCATCACGCCGACATCAGCCACCATTAGCTGCCATTAGCCGCCATTAGCTTAGCATTGTTTATGGTCTAACGTTAGCTTTTTACTTCTAGCGAATGAATTTCCGCTTCAAAAATAATAAAAGTTGTGTTTTTATGTGGAGATTGTCCTGCTGAACAAAACTTCTTGGTCGAACAAATGTTTGTTTGTCACTGATCACATATTCTGCCATTTTGTCTGGGACTTTTTTTGGAATGCTAACTTCTTGCTGCATCACTGCATCTCTACTGCCAACCCAGTCTCACGGCATTTCGTGTTCACCAACACGATTTTTAATCTATTGATTCGTGTTCACCAACACGATTTGCCCCTTTTTTTCGTGTTGCACAGCACGATTTTAAAAGCAATGTATTTCTACTGCCTGCAGCACGTATTTTTCTCCGGTCGGGTCGAGGAAGACCGGAAACTGTGTGGTTCATAAAAACATGTTCTTACTCAATATCAAGCCACAGTTATTGCTTTTATTTGAAATCGTATAATTTCGGACTTTTGTTGGCGTCTGTGAGAAAAATAAATGGGGCTCAGAGCCTCAGGATACGGAAATCTGTATTTTTAAATATTTGTTTCCTTCTAATTCGATATTCTTTTCAAAATAACACACTGTTATTTACTCACCAATAACACACAATTATCCTTGCTTTTATTTATTGGTTTAATTCCATAATCTCGGGCTTTTTTGGCGTCCGTCAGGAACTGAATTTCAAAATAAAAATAACCGGAAACAGACGTAGGCCTATAAGGGACATTTCGAGCATCATTGCGATTGTCAACATTTCTGAGTTTAGGATGGCCGAAGACACTACACTACCCATAATCCCCAGCTATCGTTTAGGACTACAGTCCCCGCAAGGTTACGCAGAGCGTCAAACAGCTGTGTGAAATGGAACGAAACCACGCCAGACTATCCAAAACTGGAATCGAACGCCCCCCCCAGAACTACACATGCTGGCTATTGTGTTTCGCAAAATGTTCTATGGGACGTCTCTACTGAACGTTTTCGTTTTTACCACAATTAGAAGTTGCCAGTATTAAACACATTGGTGTTATCAAATGTAAAACATATAATTAATAAATGGGTGAAAATCGCTTGTGTCCATAATGCGCAGCATTAATACCCACATGACAGCTCATTGTTACTTTGTAATTCTACTACAATTCAGAGGTTAACCTGGTATTTTTACTCCACTGCATTTATTTGAGTTACTTTGCAGATTCTGATTAATGATGTGAAATATAAACAACCCTTAAATCAGACTTTAGTTACACCTGAGTAAAATTCAGGTGAGGTGATTTTCAAGTGCCAACAATCAGGAGAGATATTTGATAGTTGGTGCTTGAGAAGACTAAACATGTATCTGCAATTGACATGAATGGAAACGAGTAATAAAGTATATTCATTACTCGTTATTCTCTACTAATAGTTCATTAAAGACTATTAAAGGCTATTTTGCACATCCCTTTCAAGATTTTCAAAGGTTTATTGACATATCATATACACAATGAATGAAACACTTGGGTCACAGGTTCCTCAACAGTGCATTACAAGACATCTATCAATGTGTGTGTACCTCCACCATTAAACTGTCATATTCTGCAAATTTCTTATTCTATCTACATACATAAGAGTATAATTCATATGTATAATATCAGTTAAAATAAGTGCTTCAACATAGTTAACATTGCAGGAAAGCAATATATTAGACGTTAAGTACTTTGTCAGGCTTAATATTTATCTGTAGATAGATACCCCCAAAGTTTTTTTCTTATTTAAAAGAAGACCTTAATCTGTTATTTAATGTTTAAATAAAGGTTAATTCGTTTTTCTGTTTTGCACCTCCTCCTATTAATATCTTTGTACATTCTGCACTAAACTGTTTTATTGTAGAGATCACTTATAGTATCTTCTTGATTTTTTATATTCTATATTTATACTTTCCCCCTATGAAAGTATGTACTCTTAATATTTTTTTAATCAAATAAAACACAATAATTCAATAACGTGCTTTAACCACTAGGCGGTGCACACAAGGTACACACAGCCATAATAACTTTGTATTATTAGTGTAGGACACTTTTGTTTTCGTACAACATCTGAAGATGTGTAGTTTTATGCATGCTTTCACATAATTTTACAGCATATTGCTATACTATTTCAGACTCAGTATTTACATTCTTACATTCAAAGAAAATCAGTAATATCTTTAAAAACTACAGTCCTTTTATATCAGCTGTGCACCGTTATGGTGTAAATATAACCTATCTGTGAATTAGATCAAATGTAAAAGTCAGCCGAATTAGTGTTGATACTGCAAGGAGACGCATTGTGTGAAGATAAATTGAAGATGTTGTTTAATTGTAGAATATATTTATGATCCACGTCAAGTATTCAGTTTCGGCGGCATTTTCTCAGTTTTTCCAAAGGTTTTCTCATCAGGGCTCTATATAAATAAAGAACTACGGCAGATCTGTAATATACAATGCAGCCGAACCGTGTATTACAATGCCGTTATGTGATGACTTTCAAAGAGAAAAGCAAGAGCGCTCGGAATTAAGTATTATTTTATTCTTTTAAAATGTTTTCCGGATTTCATATCATATAAACACCAAATCCCAGCATGCATTGCGGCTAAAACATCCAATAAGCGAGCTTAAAACCATAGCTGAGGATCTTGGGTAATCGCTCGAAATGCCTACGTCTGTTTCCGGTTATTTTTATTTTGAAATTCAGTTCCTGACGGACGCCAAAAAAGCCCGAGATTATGGAATTAAACCAATAAATAAAAGCAAGGATAATTGTGTGTTATTGGTGAGTAAATAACAGTGTGTTATTTTGAAAAGAATAACAAATTAGAAGGAAAAAAAGATTTAAAAAATACAGATTTCAGTATCCTGAGGCTCTGAGCCCCATTTATTTTCCTCACAGACGGCAACAAAAGTCCGAAATTATACGATTTCAAATAAAAGCAATAATTGTGGCTTGATATTGAGTAAGAACATGTTTTTATGAACCAAACAGCTTCCGGTCTTCCTCGACCCGACCGGAGAAAAAGACGTGCTGCAGGCAGTAGAAATACATTGCTTTTAAAATCGTGCTGTGCAACACGAAAAAAAGGGGCAAATCGTGTTGGTGAACACGAATCAATAGATTAAAAATCGTGTTGGTGAACACGAAATGCCGTGAGACTGGGTTGCTACTGCACTAAATCAGCCAGTAACATAATAATACATTTTATTTTGAGGCGCCTATCAAAGCACACAAGGACACCTTATAATTCATAAAATATCCTTGAAAGGAAACATCTTCTTCCAATGCAGCAAGCCAGCAACATATGTGCTAATAGTAATCATTTGTGCTTAGGAAGATATGAAAATATATTCCTAAAAAAATCCAGTTCAACCTAATTTCTGCAAGAAAGCCTTTATTCAACAAAAACCTCACATGTGAGATTGAATTTTACTCGTCCTCTCGTAGGTATATGGTGTTTGATTCAGTGTTGTTTGATATTGTACCACCAAAATGCCTTCTCTGCTGGAGAGTCCATTTAGCCACTGCAGGTTTGCCTGATCATCCAGATGTCAAAGTCTCCCACTGTTTTAAAAAATCCATTAAACTCTTAAATAAAACTCCCGCTACCGTGGTGAATGCAACTCATAATTTCAAACAGCATGTGTTGTATAATTCTGTTCTGAAATGGCTTTATGCCACCACCACAATTATCAGTTGTTAACGGTCCTATTATACTAGATTTTTTTATTTTGTTTTTATGTTCATCACTGCCACCGTAAAAAAAAGTTGTTGAAGAAAGTTACAACTTCAAGCTGTTAGACTTATGATACCACTAAGAGACATATTTGCAAACTTTTTTGCTGAACAGATGGCAGTGTCCTCTGACATGCATCCATCACAGCTTTGACACGCTGTGGATGGAGGGTGTAACAGATTAAATAGTCTAATCACAACTAATTCATCTAACTGTGATGCCAAAAAATGTAGGAATAAAACCGTGTATTGGAGGCAGTTCACAGATAGATGAACACACCAATAACTCTTTTAATGTTCAAACAATGTAATTAAACATAAGGGGTAAAATAATTTAAGGGATGTTTTAGTTTTTGTTATGAAAAACACAAATGTAAAGCTCTGATTACAAGGATACATTGATGACAAAATTACCGGTTTTATTCTATTTCTGCCATACTTAAATCACTTTCATTTGGATTGAGTGTTACGCTGATGACTGCCTATTATACAGTTTGAATGGGAGTACTCACAGTGGTGGGGGAGCTGCATTCACTGACTGATTGGCACGTTTCTGAGGCCTCTGACGATGCTGAGCTGGACGACTTCTACAGCAAAACAACAAAAAAGCAGAAAACATATTAATGATTTGCCAAGACTCAATGAGTCAGTGTGAGCATTGCATCTGTGAAACCTGAATATATATGTTTTTCCCAAATGCCAGTTAGGTGAGATAATTCTGCTAGATTTCCAAAATAAGACCATTATAGAAAGTTAAAACCTGATGTTTTATGCTATTCCAATTCATGACTGAACCCCAACATTTTAAGAGGAACTCCCCCAGTAGGGAACTTTGGGATTTTAGCCTTAGCAGACCATTTACATGCACAACAACCTATACAGTATAACACACTACAGGGAAGGGAAAACCCCAAAAAGCAAAACAGAGCCTCTTTAATCATTTGTTTCTAATGTCTGCAACCTGATACCCTGCTTTGTCTTTGTATGATTGTGTGGAAGTATATTGAACACAAGGCATTTTAAGATAGCACACGTTTTGGAGTATATTATGTGTGTATTTTGGCTTACCTGGCTAGTGATGTCCGAGGGCATGGGTGAGGGGGGCTTGGAGTAGATGTTTGCATCCTGGGACACGAATCCCGAGTCGTGGGAGGAGACGCTGCTGAGGCGGTGTGCTGCTATGCCCCCCGGTGGTGGGGGTTGATGCGGCAGGTTGCTGCGGTAGCGATAGGAGGAGGAGGAGGAGGATGAGGTGGGTGAGTGGGGCTGGGAGCCTCCACCGCCTCCACCAAAACCACCACCACCGCCTCCCCCTGATGAACGGGAGGCACTACTGTGGGCGCTGTTGACGCTGCTGCAGTGGGAGTTGGGAGGGTAAGGTGCAGAGGAGGGTGGATTGAGGGAAGGGTGAGGAGTGTGAGGGGAGGATGTGAGGAAGGTGATGGGTGCCATTGTGCAGTAAGGACAGTATTTAGTGGAGAGCATGATTAAAGTGATGGTTTAGGAAGGGTTTGGTTATTGGGAAAGATGATAAATTGGTGATAGGAGGATTTTGTGGAGGTGGTTGATAGGTGAAGTTGAGGAGTAGTCGTTGATTTAGAATGTTAGCGATGAGATGGCAAATTCAAGTCAGTCAAAAGCAGAGACCCCAGAAAAGAAAGGAAACCAGGGATCCAAGAGAAAGAGGGCAGATCACACGAGTGCGCACAGACAAATGACACAAATAGAAAAAAGGGAGACAAGTACAGTCAGAAAGTGATGGTTATAGTGAGGGAAAAGGGGGGAGAGAAAGGGCGAGAGGGGTGGGAGAGAGAGTGTGTAAGCTCATGAGGATCCAGGGAAAACACACACACACTAAACACTGCAGGCAAAAGGCTGTGAACTTGCATGCTTCTGAGCTTTGCCTGCGACTACATGCATAAACTGACAGAGAGACGTATACAGTGATGTTTTTCAGACAAAGAACTACAGAAACACATTGCTTAGTTTACAGTATTCTTCTTGTATTATTTATTTTGAATTGTGAATTTGCACACATTTTAACCCCTATGAAAAGCAGATATGCGCGTATGCTGATGATCTCTGCTATTTGTGGCAAATTCAATATCATTTGTCCACTTTTTAGAAGATTGTTTCTGTGTCTGAAGGTGGTTTGTGGTTTATGTAGAATTCCATTAAGAGTGATGATAACTGGACACACAGTAATGATGTACTGACACATAAACAATAGCACAGTAAAACACAAACAGGGAGGCTCCTCTTTCTTTACAAAAAAGTATTGTCGAGCAACCATAATATGTTGGTAGTGTTTGTGTGAGTACCTGCACATGCTGCTCTTGCGGGAGCAGGAGCTGCTGGGGGATGAGGGGGGGGTCTGATAGGACCAGCTGTAATCCGACCCCTTAAGGTCCTTTATCACCTGTGAGAGAGAGAGAGGTTGTAATCTCATTAGTTTCTTTCCTTTCAGCACGCACGTGTGTTTGTTTGTGTGTCTGTGTGTGTGGTACCTGTTCACTAGCTGGCGGCAGTTTGTGAGGATCAGTTGTCAGCACAGTGAGGTCATCAATGATGGCCTGGAGGTGTGTGATCTCTCCCAGCATGGCAATCTCTCCATTCTATAAAACATGATTGAAACATGCACTGCGCTTGTAAAGTAAAAACACACTCATGAGTTCAAGGAAGAATACAAAGGAGAATTCAAAAGGAATTCGGTAGAAACCACAGTGCAACTTTGATGCATCATCATTTCATTGACTGTGATGTTTTTGGCCACAATCCTTGTGAAAAGTGTGGAAATGTGTAACTGTCACATCCACTGTTACCATGGGAGACTAACACACACCTGTGTGAGATAAATTGCAGTATGTTGCCTCCCAGTGGAATATGAGTGAAGTGTAACTTTTAGTAGCCTAATTCTGGATCACACAAGCCTCATTTACTTTGAGCAAGGCACTCAACCCCAATCTCTCTCTGCTGCTCAGCAACTATTAAGGTCCTTACACACCGAGACGATTTTCGGCGTCGATAGATGTCTGGCCGTCGATGAGCGTCCGGTCGCCCTACTCAGATTGGTGTGTACTGCACCGTCATGTATTTTCGGCTGTGCCGACACCTTCCGCCGATTCGACATGTTGAATCGCTAGGCTGTCGGCCAAAGAAATCACTCTGATTGGCTGTTCAGGTTAGCGAATCAGTGCATGAGAAGCGAAACGGAAGTGAGGGACCCAAACAAACTATTAAGAAGGCAAATCTGAGATTTCATTTACCTCCAGCTCTCGACTCAGGTTCGGGAAAGCCCCATGAAAATGGAACGCACACGCTATTTGTTGTTTGTTTATATCACGCATTGCTACTCACGCATGCGCAGTTCGTACGTGCAACTTGGCCGTCGGCTGAAGTCTTTGCGGTGTGTTCCAGTGCGAAACATGGCAAGGCGCAGGAGACGTGAGACGTTCCGTCGGGACGTGTTCTTTGGTGTCAGTTTGGTGTGTAAGGAGCTTTAGACTATACCCCCCCCCACTCACCACAACAGGCTGCAGGAAGCCGATGAATGTGCAGAAGCGCCCCCTCTCCTCCACCAGGGCGCGGCGCACTGCCTGTTTCTCCATCTCCTCCATCAGCAGACACATGTCAGTCACATCCTGCATGGCACTGTCCAGCTGGGGCTGCAGGTCCACTCGCCCTGCAGGGGGGGAAACACATATGATATAGAAGAGCTTGAAACCAGCAGCTCAGTGGGAAGATGAGGGTAGACGACGGGAGAAGAGAGGTTTTCAGATGTGGGTGATGTGGTAGGAAAGAAGATGACGTTGCAAACAATACAAGTGGAAGGTGTGTGTAGGAAATGTCACCATAGCATACCGAACACAGGGAAACAAGGTAAGCAGCAACATCTTGTTTGATATTGTAATCCAATGCTTATAAAAGTTACATGGAATCCATACCGCTGTCTATCAGCTTTGTTTTGGTTTCCACCAACTGCTAAATAACACATGTAGCTGGCCGCTAACTTTGTGGGTCCCCTGTTTGGTGCTGGCATAATAACATATGGTGGGTTATGAGAGCCCTTTCACTTCAATAATTAGAGCTTTGGATAACCTTGGTAAAACATGATTTATAGGCCTACAAGTCTACAACGGCCTGTGTTTTTTGTTGTAACTAAGACTAGAGTCTAAATGTATCCATAACACGCTATGTGCACACATAATGTGCGAGAGTGTGCACATCTCCCGTAATAACAACACAGAGCCAAAACACATACTATGTGTTTCTTCCTAAAAATGTCACTTGCTGTGATTGCACAGAAATGCATCGATGACAGAAAAGGACACATAAGTGGATAAGTATGGTGTAAAACATCTCAATCCTACCTACTGTTAACACAAACTAGTGCAATCCATTGAAAGTCAGCCATGAAATATATATTTGTAGTGTCACAACATGCAGTGAAAGAGAGGACAAGAGACGAGTGGCAGCATGAGAGCAAAATGAAAGCCTGCGGTGTGACTACAAAGATAATAGCAGAAGTCATGCAGAAGTCAGAGAAGAAGATTGCATAACTCAAACAACTGTAGAAGCTGAACTCTGTCTGTCACCAGAATAAAAAAAACCCTTTCAAACTCATGTGTTGCAACTAGTTTGCTAAAAAAGACATGGTAGCTGCTTTCACATATGTTTTCAAGAAGATAACATTTAACTTTTAATTTGAATGTGCATTACATGGAGCTCAGGGGCCATAAAGAGTGCTTTGTTGTTATAATATTCCTTATTTGTGTATTGTTCTACTCATAGGCTACGGTAACTGCACAATGGAATGCACTTACCAAACATGGGTTGGTCTGCAAATCCCTGTCTGTAGTCATTAAATCATAGCTGTGTGCTCCGTAGCTGTCCACAGTTTCGCAGCATACTTTATGTCCTTTCAGATATTTCTGCCGTACTCATGCAATTTATACTTCTGAAAAATATCTAACTGATCCGGCCTGAAAGGATATATTCATGATCAGTTGTTTCAGGCTGTTAACATATGGTGGTTCTCTAAAAGGTAATGCATTTCATGAAATGATTGGTCTGCTGCAATAATACCTTTGTATCCTCATCACAGAATAATGATGGACTTCTTTATGTCCCAAAATGCCCATAGAGAAAAAAGTGCATTTGTGTATTCTGAGTATAGAATGTGTTGCAGGAAGATATTATTTCATTGATCTTGCTATGTGTTACATCCAAAATACAAAACATTGTAAAAGGCTGATTTATTTTAGTCAATGTTTTTTTTAATTCAACTTGTAACAAAACTGCTTCTTTAACATATGCGTGATAATTGGTTCCTTTTCATTTCTGTTTCCCTTTCTGTGCATTTGTTTCTGTAACGTTGTGTTCTTTTCATTTGTGCTGCTGCACGTCTCAGCCAGGTGTCCCTTGATTTCTTTCTTATAACCTTGATGAAACATTCCTGGTTTAATGAAGGTTAAATCATAAAGGAATTAAAATAAAGACCCAACTTTGAAGAGAAACATATTGGTGAAAGTGAATGTGTTTCAGGAGTTTTAATTAAATTAACCAGGTTGTTTTATGGGTTCCTTTTAATCAAGTTTAATTTTCGCAACCCTTTTCTTCAACTTGTAAATACATGGAGGTGGACATCTGTTTCAAAGTTATCATAACAAATAAGACACATAGAAAGAAAATAAGCACCTTAGTAATATGAGTAAAGAGTAATATGTTGCAGGGTTGGATGGGAGAGCGGGTTTGGATTGGTCTTGTTTCCGGATTTTGAGGCCGAGTGATAAAATAAAGATTCAAGGCTTTTGTTATTTTGGTTTATATTTAAATGTGTCCAATTTTTATTGTATTTTATTTTGTTACGTATTCTTCTTTCAGTGTCTTTGTATGCACCACATATACCAAAGCAAATTCCTCATATGTGTAAACCTACTTGGTAATAAAACTGATTCTGTGTTATTAAATCATGCTTATTCATGTAACCATAGACTCATTTATGTTGACTCAGTTAATCCAGCACTGGTCCATTGCTCTCTTTGTCACCTGAAGTCAACTTCTATGGCTTTTCCATGTTGTAAACAATTCCCTAATATACAAAGAACCTTTTTGATTACCCCTTGTATCTCTAAAGTAGTGATAACCACAAACTGTTACACGACACACATGCTTGTAAGGTAATCTGCAGGAACAGTCTGAATGTGGGTTAAACAGGAGATGATGCAGCAGATCTGTAGCGAGCGATACTTACCCTGGATCTCTATTACAGGGGGACAAACACCACAGGGAGGGAGAGACAGCAAGACGGTAGCAGTGGGGGCGGGAGGCAAAAAGGAAGCAAAATAAGGAAAGAGAAAGAGGGGGGAGAGAGAGCAGACAGAGCAGAACTCATTGTTAGGGTTAGTATAAAAGGAAGCCATCACAAGACAGCCACAGAGCCACAGGTTAGAGCAAAATAACACAACCCAAAACATCCAGAAATAATACATGAACCAAGCATCAGCAAACATACAGACATAACTGAGCTATTATCCTGTCAGTTTCAGCAAATGTTGCATTTAAGGTTTCTATTTCTGTCATGTATGTGTTACTTTCGCCTTTAATTAAAGGTGGGGTAGGTAAGTTTGAGAAACCGGCTCGAGATACACTTGTTGTTATATTCCATGGAATGCTCTTAACATCCTGATAGCAATGAATATCTTAAGTGCTTTGACAAAAAATCCATACAAAAATTCGTCTGTGGAAGCCGTGGCGCTGTAAAAAGCACGACCAATCATCTGAGCCGGCCCGGCTAAAGTAACTGGATGGCCTACCTGCCTGTCAGCCTTCCATCTGTGCACACACTTATCTCGTGCCCTCATTGGTCATGTGCGCGTTCGTGTGTGTTGGAGGAGGGTCTCTGTAAGGAAGTGGCAGATTTTTTCCGGCTATTTTCAAATTCTAGCGCACTCCAGCTGGTTTCTCCAAAATTACCTACCCCACCTTTAATTAATAAAAAATATAGAAAATAATATAGAAATACATTATTATTACTACTACTAATAATAATAATAATAATAATAATAATACTAATAATAATTCCACCAAGATACATATGTATCACATTTCAATCATTACATTTAAAAAGTCCTAGAGATGAACCGAAAGACTAATGTATTAAACAGAAAGACATTATGAAATGTACATTACAGACATAATGCATTTGTGTATTGATCTGCCTGGCAACTAAATGAAAGCTGGTCCATGCAAACACACTTATCATTGGTTGTTTCATCATTAAGTGAAATGTTTCAGGACAAATAAGAGAATAACTACAATACCACTGATCACCACTAGATGTCAATGTAAACCTACAGCTTTTGTTATGTGCTGCAGAAAGGCTACGGTTCTTGACCTCGGTGAATGACTCATTCTCTGTGTGTGTACTGTGTGTGTGTGTGTGTGTGTGTGTGTGTGTGTGTGTGTGTGTGTGTGTGTGTGTGTGTGTGTGTGTGTGTGTGTGTGTGTGTGTGTGTGTGTGTGTGTGTGTGTGTGTGTGTGTGTGTGTGTGTTGGCACTGAATGCAACTTTGTCTGTTTTTATGTTAATGTATCATGCATCCATATCAGATACAAACCATAAATCATCATTTTGGATTTTTGGCCAAGGGAAAATTGTTGTTGGTGTGGATTTACCATTCATTAGCAACAGTGACACCATCAAAGAGATAACAGGTGTATAAATGAACTCAGTGTCTACAAACAAAGTATAGGAGCAACACATAAACACCATTGACAGAAGATAATTGATGTGGTCTTTGTAAGCTTGCAATAAAACAGATTGAGCTCTACAATGTGACTTCCTGTTGAATGTGAGAGGAGCCGGAGCTCTCCTGCTGACCGTTACCTTTACGGGCCTTCTTCTGCAGCTTCATGGTGTCAGATGACTTCTTCTTGATCTCGTGGCGTGATCTCTTGTACTCTGGAGACGGGACGAACAGAGATGCTTTAGTAGCAGGAATGTAAAGCCCTCTGTGTGAACTCATATTATCTTGCTTACAGAAGCCAAGAGCTAACTGATAAAGACTTTGCATTGGTTAGAGCAAAACATACTGATCCTTAGAGATTACAGTCAAATCATAGCCTTGGACTTTGTAAAACTTGAATGGACCAAACGATTAAACATTATAATAAACAACCTTGGCTAATAATGCTCAAAACCAGGTATTTATTTATCAGTTATTTAGGATTTTTTCTTTTACAACAAAGGTATTAGTAAAGTGCGACTTAACCCTAACCCTTCCACTCCATGTGACTTTAGAGTTTTGACCAAGACTCATGTATCTTGACCAGGACTCTTGTAAAATACATGTTTAATCTTAATGAGACTCTTAGTTGAATAAAGTGATTGTTCTGGATAATTGATGAATAAGGAATCTACTGTCTGAATACAGTATACTTCACTTCCAACCAACCTTCAAACATTTCAACTAGAAGGGCAATCTCTGCTCTTGAATCAGGTTATAAGTATTTTTGTATTTCTGCTGATAAACGGTCAAATAACCCTAACCCTAAAAATACTAGTACGCCACAGAGCAGCACCTTACAAGACATTACACACTTTTATACAATAAAGCAACTTCAGTTGGGTGGATGCTATTTGTGCAATGATGTCATGAATTAGCATCATAACCTGTGAGCAGTGTGTACCTTTGGCGTGATCTTTATCCAGCTGGGTGGCTGTCTTCTTCCAATCCTCAATCTTATCCTGGAGAGGATTGATCAGACTCTCCATCAAAGCACTGTGAAAGACATTGAAGAGATTGAGAGACAGTTCAAACACAACATTAATAACTGCTGCTTTGTTTCAATCAAAACAGTCCAAGGACAAGTACTTGTATTGGGTGGTGTCTTGACAAGAGTCTGACTTCAGTTATACTTTCTATGTGGTGAGTTACGAAAGTTTGCTATGGTCTGCATCACGTATATCTCAATGCTATATGCTTTACTATCAACTAGTATAAGGACAAGCTTTGGTGTAAACAGTAGCAACATCGTATTCTGACGACCAAGCACCAAGTTTCTGGAATGAGATCCATACACATATTTCTGTCAACGTGCAAAATGTACACAATGGTGGCACATTAGTGCATTGGAAAATAGAGACCCCAGTCATTACCATGGTTATAGATCAACATCGTCATTATCATCAGCATCAATATAATAGTTTGTGCTGTGGAAAAGTCATAACAGAGGATGGAGAATGGAGGAAGAATCAAATGATGGTTTGTAATTAGTACAGACAGAGCAATGATCCTAATGGAAGTCATACATCTGACAAAGAACCTCCCCAAGCTTTGGCCCAATCATAACACAACAATAAAAGGTCAGCATTAGATGAGTTATCTTAGACTTCTGAAAAACCTTGATGGACTACAGTGTAAGGTCTTCAAAGAAAGGAAAGGAAGCAAAGTTAGGAGGTAAACAAGGAGATAAAAAGTGAGAAGGAAAGTATGTATCTTACTTGGTGAACTGGCGAAGTTTGGCCTCAATGCTGCGATGCCTCATGCACATCCTGGTTAGAGCTGAACCAATGTCTCTGGTCGCCCCTAGAAACACAAAAAAGCCATGTTCATATGATGATGCACATACACACAAAAGACGCTACCTACGAGTTTCATTGCACATTTACAACCTAATTTTGTTCCACAGAAAAAACACAAAGCCACATTCAATATTTACATTGCAGCTATTTGTGTGCTTTGTAAAGTAAATGCTGGTGAAAAACAATGTATTCTTCAAACAGATGAGCACCTTTTACATTCAGCCAGTATTTACACTAGACCCTGATCTGCTTCGTAGATACTACACACACTGCCTGCCTCATCCAAATAAAGTGGTGTCTCGTGAGTGTGTTTGTGCGAGAGCCCAAGCGCCCAGGGACCCAGATGTGTGAGCAGCTAACCTGCAACTGTAAACACAAGTCTATTTTAAGAGGGAGCAGGTCCGTGTGGAAAAAGATGACCCTGAAGTTTAAGTCAGTTTAAATGATGGCAGAGACTGTTAACTTCCAAACAAGGTGCTCCAAACTGACACTGCTGCTGTGCAGGTGGAGAACCCACAAGAGAAATGGGATGAGAGCTTCACTCTGATGATGTGCACATAAAGGCTTTCCACCAGAGGTAAGGCTTATACAGTATATCATCACTGCTGAAATGTACACACTGGAACATTCAGATTAAACAGCAGCCAAATGGGATTTCCTCGAGAGACACTGTTTATCAGGAGAGCTTAGACAGGCTTACATATTCCAATGCAGGGATTGCAGAGTGAAGAAAGTTGTTATTCCAAAATGTTATGCACCAGATTAGTATTTTCTTCCAAAACTGAAAAGAAATATGTGTTTGAAAAAAAGGAGTTGATCCATTCAACAAATCCCGTATAAATATAACAGCTACAGCACTCATAGTGACCACAACAAATGAAACTGTCAACGTTCTTTATATACTCTTACAGAATAAATGAGAAGAACTGTGTGACATCATCAGACCAAATACTGTGGATTATGTCCAAGTACTTCCTAAATATGAACATAAGTTCTTAGCTATAGCCAAATTTGTATTTACTACAAAATATGACATGGCTTGGTTGAATACTCAATGCTGATTGGTCAATAGAGTCCACTTCAATGATCAAGACGTTTAGAATGACAGTTAAAATGCTGTCATTCTAAACGACCTGAAAATGGATATCTTTTGCCTGATCTCTTACAGTAGATTTTGAAAAATAAATACTGATCATTCATATGAAATGTTATTTCCCTACAAGTCAGTGCATACCCATACACTGACAAATGTAAAACCACACACACACACACACACACACACACACACACACACACACACACACACACACACACACACACACACACACACACACACACACACACACACACACACACACACACACTCTCTGTGTGTTGTTCACATCCACAGAGAAGTGCTCCATTCATAATTAACAAATTCCTCCCTCACACCTCCTGTTCTACCCGGCAACCATTCATTAAAGCAGAGCCACCCTCCCCCAAACACACACACACACACACACACACACACACACACACACACACACACACACACACACACACACACACACACACACTTTTATGCCGTGCATGCCGATCAGTTGCAGTATTGTGTACTGTGTGTTGACGGTGGAATCTAATCCTAAATCAATAAGCACATTTTGAAGTTGATGTAGAGAAAGAATGAAGCAACGTAATACAGCTGATAAGAACATTGTGTGATATTTTGTATCCTAGGAAAAGGAACATTAAATGAATTAAATGAGAGGAAGAGATGACAACATGAAGACGAGAGGGGTCGCCTCACACATTTTAATGAGCTCACTGCTGGCGAGAGGAACATGGGACTGCAGTTACAGCCAAGTGTGTGTGTGTGATGTGCGTCTGTGTGTGTTTGATCTTGTCGTTTATGATGGTTCTCTTCCTGTTTGTCTGTTATTACCATGCCTCTCAGACTCCACGGGAGATCAACAGCTTAGATGAGGGGCGGCACAGAACACACGCTCCTCACATCTGGAATACAGCTACTGTGCTTGTTTTATGTGTGTACGTCAGTGTTCATTTGCATCAAATTGATTGCAACGCAAAAGGACAGGAACATCCCCCAAAAAGGAAAAGTAGAACAGAGTGAGCACCGGATAGGAGACTACCACAGAGCTGAGAGGCTTGTGAAATTCCTCTGTGCTTTAACACTATTTACTGTGTTATTATCACATAAAAAAGGGTTGTATTCAAAAGTGTGTGCAGTTTATTGTACTCTCGAAGAAAAAAAAACTGCCCATTTATAAATTGTTACAGCACTTAACATCAAGAATAATAGGCAACAGTTGTGAAACTTTGTTATATTCAAAGCTCTGTTTTGATTCATTTTTGTAGAAATCGTTGATCTACTTTCAGCTGATAGGATTTAAAAGTAACGACTTATTCTCATTTAACAGGGGAGAATCTGGAGAATTATTGCATTGTTCTTGCACACCGGGAGGCGTGTGGTGCAGTGGGTTGAGCGTTGGTGTTGGGACCAGGGGGTCACAGGTTCAAACCCCACTGCAGTCAGCATGTCGCTGTGTCCCTGGGCGAGACTCTTCACCCCAAATTGCTCCTGTATCCACAGTATTGAGTATGTAAGTCGCTTTGGATAAAAGCGTCTAACAAGTAACATGTAATGTTCCTGCAACTTCTATCGTTTTATCATGACTCTCATCTGTGTAGTTTCCAGAGGCAGAAGGCAAGTGTTTTCAGGCTTTAAACCGTCGTTGTACTCCAAACAGACAGACACAGTTGTACATTTGTTTCCAGCAGGAGATTGATGTGAATATCAGTTCACAGTTACTTTATACAGTGTACAAGTATTCTGAGCTCAACCCCCATACACCATTTCTGTCTGTCTCTCTGACCACCCTTTAAAGAGAAGGAGGGATTCTCTCTTTCCTGCTGTTGATGTGCTTCCTGTCTGCAGAGCTCCCAGTGTTTATGTATGTGTTTGTAAGAGGGACCCACCCGATCTGAACAATACACTAGTGCTGTAGTTTCACAGATGTAGTATAAGGTATAATGTTGTATCGCATATACATGGTACTCATCCATTGCAAAACATCAATTGTACTAACAAGTAAGCTACTTTTGTCATATAAGTAAGTTTAGCGTTGACTCTGTTCAACCAAGTGGTGTGCTATTTAGAATATCAATAGAGAAAGGGAAATGTTGCATTCTGGGGCGGCGCTGCCATCTTTGAAGAAAAGCGTCCATAGCAACGGCAGGATCCACACATATCTATCAGCTCTCACCAGTCATATGTGAACTGTTTGACATCGGAAATAAATAAAGTATGTAACAAATAAATATCCTTGTCGACATGAGCATAACATGGGTAATTGTTCATGAAATTCTTGTTCAAAGAATCGTAACTTTTCTGCGCCTCTCTGTTATATGGAGTTGGTGCCTATACACCTGTCAGCAATTGAAAAATGGTACATCTTTGAAGCTCATGTCTAAATTGCTGAAGAGTGGGTATTAAGGGCCTTTGAATCTATTGCTCAATGACAACAAAACAAATATCTGGACAAAGGTAGCACAAGAATGCTAACAAAGCAATGGCTTATTATGCATAATTAATTGACTTGTGTATTTATATACTACCTTATTCCATGTTTGAATTGTCATTCCTTTATTAATGGTCTGTTTAACTGTACAGTAGTTCAGCGATTCATTTTGACATTAAGCAGTCATAAAATGGCTGCCACCCAACGCATGCAGCGTCTCTTGCTAATGTTGGCTACCTGGTCATTTGGTAAACTTTCCATGCTGGAAACGAATGAAACGTAAACCCATGGTCCTTTATGTACCAATGCAACAGTGCCTAATGACCTTGTTTGAAAGTTTAAATTAAAATGGTTACTGCTACTTCTTCTGCCGCAATTGTTAGTCAACGAGTCATCAAAGATGGCCGACTTGCTGTTTGTGACGTCACATTTCCATTTTGTATAATACTGGTGCAGATAAGGAAGCAGGCTACCTGTAATAATCAATCAATCAATGTTTATTTATATAGCCCAATATCACAAATGTTACATTTGTCTCAGTGGACAAATTGTGTAATAACACACATGATGTTTATAAAATGACTGGATTGAATGTTGTGGAAGTCTGCCCAGAGAATGGCAAAGTCATAATTCTCCCACGTCACCTAGCAACCATCTTCAGTGACAGGTTTGTAACGGTTTCCATGACAGCGCACATCTTGGCCTGTTGCTAAGGAGGGAATCCAAATGTTTGTTGCTAATGTCAAATTGTCTGCAGCTACGGAAATGAATGTCTGAACTTCACTCTAAGAGAGAGAATGAAGTACTCAAACACACACACACACACACACACACACACACACACACACACACACACACACACACACACACACACACACACACACACACACACACATCATTTTGATTATGAATTCATTCATACTAATCATGTATAAGTGCAATGTTATATTATAGTTCATATAGGGCATTCAGCTGTTGATCAAAACATAGAATATAGAAATGCAAGAAAATGTCTAACAGCTGTTCTTTAAATCTCAACAATTATAAGACATTTTAGAATGTCACATTCACAATAATCATCTAAAACCATTTCCCTTCAGCACAGGTGCAGGGCTGCCCAGGGACCACCATATTCCAGAGTGATTTCAAATACCCTCTAATTGAAAATTGCAAACACATATACTGCATATGCTTTGGTATACTGTTGCTTTCCCAGGGAATCTCAATGAGCCTCTTTCAAACAGTCTGCTCTCTAATGATAACATGCTCCCTCTCTCTCTTTGCCTGGGGCATCTGTGGCCTTCCCACCAGTGCATCTCCATGGCAACTATTATCTATGATCTTGCAGAGGGATTCGTCAGCTTCTCTATCCTCATTGGCTGTGAAATGCAAGCAAACTTGCAACTACAAAAGTGAACTGCAGTGATGACCACACTCCCAAATATATACAGCATGGGCATGCATGCTTATGTGTGAGTGTGGTTAT